TCTCCACACAGTGTACCATTACCCATCCTGTAATGGAAAAGTAAACGTGCTGATTTTGAGTCTGACACATTGGAAGCAATCCTCAAGAGAGCCTTTGTTGTTCTCAGACTCTGCCTGCACATAAACCCTAACAGTAACCATACTTTGCGTGTGTACAACTCAATCTTGGAATTTTTAATAACCATCTGGTGGAGTAGGCCTGGGCTAATTCATCAAGTGAACACAAAGTTGAGCCTTACTTTGAAATTCATTTTGAAAATTTAGTTACAAAACACATCGTCATAATTGTAGATGCTTATATATACCTTATATTTATCAACAGTTTATTTGAATATTTTCTTTTTTGTATATATGAATTTCCTCCATTCATTTTAACTAGTCCCTTAATGATTGATGGAAGATAGATAGATAGATAGATAGATAGATAGATAGATAGATAGATGATAGATAGATGAGAGAGAGAGATGACAGAAAGATGACTAGGTAGGCAGATAATTACCTAATTACCTATTTCTGGAAATTACAACCTAAATTTTATCAAGTATAATTGTATATTGGAATTAACCTCATTACAAGAGAACAGTCGTCACCCGTTCCAGTCTGCTGTAGAAGCTATTTCAGGGCGAGAGACAGAACACAGCTTATTAACCATCGTTAGGCACCAAGCCTGCTCAAGATCATAAGAAAGATCCAGAACTCCATTTGGGATTTTCTGCTGACTGTAGAAACCCTATGTGAAAACAGTCATCAGTTAATATGAGAAATGTCTCAAGGTTAAAACCCTTTGTTTCTTCAAGTATTTTCATAATGGCACTTTTTGCTTTTCCTCCATAATTCTGAATATCTTAAAAATTTAAGTGACCTGTCTCCATGTACCTCACTAGGGAGAAAGCCGTGTGGAACTCATCATATGTCAGATCTTGAAATACAATCTTATTTTCTACTTTAGAAAGTTTCCTTGTGCCTGAAAAGTGAATGTAACCACCTATACCACATTCAAAGTAATTTTTGAAAATTACAGCAATCTTTCGAAAATGATTAAAAAGATTTAAATGCATACTAACCTCCCTTCTTTGAAAAATATATTTTATAAGCAGGAATTAACATGTTAGCATTGCAAAAACAATAAATTTACTAAGCTTTTAAAGCTTTTCCTTTACTGTATGAGTTGCTCCACTGATACAATGAATTTAATCACTTTATTTTCACCCTTCCGTTGTCCACTCTCGCCACCTTCTCTCTCCTGCTGGAGCCCTTCTCCTCAACAAGTCCCCCTCCTATGGTCATGGCTTCCTCTAGTGTGTGGCCCACTGATTTTAATTAGGGTTTCGTGTCTGAGTGCGGATGGGAGGTTATTTACTGGAGCACAGCAGATCATCAGTGGCTACACCACTGAAGAAAATGGCACCCCGAGGACAAATAAAAGTATATGACTTCCTAAGATGGAGAGCAGAATGTTTCTAAATCCTCTGTTTCTCAGAATGGTCTGTCATAAAACACTAAAAAAAATTAAGAACACTCTAGAATATTTTTAACTGCGGTATGTCCTACCTCCTGCTTTTATTTTTATTTATTTATTTTTTTTGCAGTAAGCTTGTTTTATTAATTTCCCCACTGGAAGTCCAATATCAGCAACTTTACCCATTTCTGTTTCCTATTGAACCAGGAAAACTTTCCCGCCAGCAGCAGTGAGAGACTGCAGGACCTGAAGTCCACTGTGGACCTGCTGACCAGCATCACCTTCTTCAGGATGAAGGTATCTCATCTCATGCTCACGATGTTCCAGTGTGACATCAGAATACGTTTGTCCCCCGATAGAGCTTTGCTTTATCCTACTGCTGGCCAGTGCTGTCTAACTCCAGCCAGTAATCCTGGGCCACACGACTGGTCCAACACAGGCTCTATCAAAGAAGCAAGATTCCTGTCACTCTACATGGATTCACTGAGTCAGAACTAAGTTCCCATTAAATTTATCTTAAAAGACGCGTTCTTAATAACTCTACAAGACACTTTAAAAAGTAGCAAAGAATGTTAAGTGAAAGGGGAGTTGCATTTCAGTGGTAGCTGGGATGGTTTGCTAACTTCACTGTAGGAGAGCTCAATCCTGTTCACCCAATGGTGCCAGCGCAGTGACAACCTGGGAAATGCTTGTATGAGAATTGGTCACCTGAGTCTTTGGTGCATTTGGCTATGGTCTGTCAAACTCTCTAGGCATTTCTGTTTAGAAATAGCCCTTCTTTCATACCAATTTCTAGACAGTAATAATTTAGAGCAGTAATGCATTTATATGAAGCCTTTCAAACACAGTTTGCTAGGATATAGACTTAATATTTTTTTCTTTCTGAAATAGAGTATTATGAGAGTTGGTCAGCAAATTCCGAGGTAGCGAACAAAATAAACCAACACACCAGGTTATTTTTCTCAGTTACCATGAGTTTGTCACTCATGGCACTAAAAACTAGTGTTTTATAATTGACAGAAAGCAAAAGCATGAAATATGGATGATCATTAGTTTCTTTAATGTCACTTAGCTTAATATGAGGACCCATTGGTGACTGGAGTAAACAGAATTTAATGTCTGTTCTGATACACTGGTATCTGTGTGCAGGTAATGCAGGTGTGCAGGCAATGCAGGTGAGACCCAGTCAAGGCTTGGTGGGAAAGGGGTGAACTCAGCTGGGCAAGAGATGGCCGCACAGCCGGGAGATGAGAAAGTGGCTGCAGCAAGAAGGGCACTCCGTTGGTAGGCATCTGCCTGTCTCCTTCCCGGGGTGACTACCAAGTGAGGGTTCTTCTGTTTACTTCTCTAGGAAAAGGAACAAAGGAGAGAGAATAGCCTCTCGTGACTCTGGCACAGCCCTGCCACCTGCCATCTCTGTATTATTTACACTCTTCTTTCTTTTGTATTATTGACTGTCACCCGAAGTCTGTTTTCTAGAATTGATGGCCTCTGCTACCTTCGCGATTGATTACCTTCCTCTTAGAAACTAGCAGATTGGCTAGATTCCTCCTTACGGTTCTAAATCATCAGCTTCCCTCTTCCTACTCTGTGCTCCTTATTATCAATTATGCTCTTAATTTTTTAAAGCATTGTTTGACAGGCTGATGAGATGGCTGATCAGGAAAGAACGCTTTTTGCTCTTCCACAGGATCTGAGCTCTTTACCCAGCACCCACATGGTGGCTCACAACCAACTACAACCCCAGTTCCGGAGGGTCTCACGCCCCCTTCTGGCCTTTGTGAAAACTGCACACATATAGTGCCTAGACTCTGTCCATGCAAACAACCACACATTAGTTAATCTTTAAAAGACTGCTTGACCCCACTTACCCCAGTTCCAAAACTTTTCAAAAGTTGTTTCTTTCTATTATATTTTTTTTCTTTGGAGGATTATAATTTAATTACAATATCTCTCCCTTCTGATTTCTCTCTCCAAACCTTCTCAGACACCCCTTCTTCCCTTCCTGCTCTCTTTCAAATTCATGGCCTCTTTCTTTTTTGTTATTAATTGTGTGTGGGTGTAGGGGTGGATGTGCTCCTAAATATAACCTGTTCATTCTGTATAATTCTACCAGTATGTGTGTTTTCAGGACTAATGGTTTAGAACTGGACCACCGATTAGTGTGCTCTTCCCTAAGGACAGCCTCCTGTCCTGTCCCCACCTTTGCTCAGTTGCCTATAGTTCTTTATGTAGGGTTGAAACCTCATGGGATCTTCTCCTTCCAGTTTGGCATGTTCATTAGCATCATCCTTGTATAATTCATGTTTGAGCAGCCATGATAGTGAGACTCTTTGGGTGTAGCCTCTGATATTGCTACGAGACACAAACTCACAGCAAACTCCCTGATCCTCTGGCTCTTGCAATCTTTCCCAAGCCTTAAGTGTGGGAGCATTTAGACATATGGGAATGGGCTCTGCAACTCTGCATTTTGACTGGTTGTGATTTCCTGCAATGGTCTCTTCTGTTGCAAAGAGCAATTTCCTTGACAAAGAGAGAAGACTACACTAGTCTGTGGGTATAAGGACAAACGTTTACAGGTTCTTAGGGATTATGTTGATCTAGTACATCAGTGGTTGTAGATTCTCCTCCAATAACTATGACTTCACCAGCACTGGGTAATTAGCTGGGTCTCCCTTACCAGGCATGCTATTCCTCTTGTTGAGCTGGTCTTAAGTCCAATTCGAGAACTATTGGTTTGTGCCAAGGTATTGTCTTCCAATTATCTTTTATTTACATTATAGAGAGTAAAAATCATCCTTTTGAGTATGTAGTTCTAGTAATTCTTAGAAATGTGTAGCTGCATAGACACAGTAGCAGTATGTCACAGAGCAGCTCCATAAGCCCATGCAAATCCCCTTTGCAACCAGTCCCTCTCCACCACTGCTGGCAGACACCACAGTTCCTTGCATAGAGGTTTTCCCTTCCCAGAAGGCCATACAAGTGGCATCATACCCTGTGTAGTATCTTTGTGACCCATCCATGCTGTTAACGAATCTACTGTCTGCATCTCTTGTGACTGACTAGTGATTATGTGATAGGGACAGACCACAGGTTGTTTGCTCATTCACTAAAGGCTGGACATTTTGGCTGTTCTCAGTTTATATTGATTACAAATATAACAAACATAATGAGTATGAACATTTGTTCAGGCACATTTTTACCTTCTTGGGTAAAATCCCCAGCCAGAGTGTATGGTGCCTTTATCTGCTCTGGGGCTCTTAGTGAAGTTTTGGTCACCCCCAATCTAATCACTGTCTTTCTTATTTTCTATTGGGAGTGAAGTTGCATCTTATTGTAGACATTAAGTTTCCCATCTTGCATAAAAACAAACCTCACAATGTACAAAAAGAGACAGGGGTGGTTTTTGTATATTTAGAGATAATAAATTTATTTATTGAAAATGTATTCTTATATTTTTGGTTGAGAGCCTAACCTTTAAAAGTTGAGCCATCACATGCCTTTAATCCCAGCACTCGGGAGGCAGAGGCAGAGGCAGATGGATCTCTGTGAGTTTGAGGTCAACCTGATCTAGAAGAGCTAGTTCCAGGGCAGGCTCCAAAGCTACAGAGAAATCCTGTTTCAAAAAACAAACAAACAAGAAAATAAAAGAAAGGAAAAAGAAAGAAAGAAAGGAAGAGAGGAAGAAAGAAAGAAGAAAGAAAGAAAATATATTCTTTCCCTGCTGATACTTTTTTTGTGCTTTCGTAAATGACCAATTGTTTCCAATGATATACTTTTTTCAAAAAACATCTATACACCTACTATCACCATACTGCCTTGATTATTGATGCTTTATAGAGAATCTTAAAACATGCATTTTGTGCCATTTTCTTCTTTGACCCTATAGGTTAGGGGTTTAAAGTATTGTTGTGATTTTTGTTGAAACTGAGTTTTCTGTAAAGGCTGCCTGGTAACGAAGTGTTGCTTTCCTGTTCTGTGAAACCCTTGTCTACCTTGGCCGATCAGAAGGCTCTTACAACACTCTCCATGCGGTTCTCCCGTTCCCTTCCACCCTCCTACCCTTCCGACTTCATCTGCTATTTCCATCCTCTGTGCTCTGTCTGGATCATCAACCCTTCCCAGCCTCTCGCCATTGCCTTGTTTCTCTTTTCATCCTGGGTTGCCATGCAGTGCGTTTAACTTATATTTTATCCATTACCTCTAGAATTTAAGCCTACGATGAAAGGCATTTCTTGTTCATCCTTCCACTTGCTCATTTCAGTATTATTGCTACCAGACACACAGTGATTGCTTCCCATTTGTCAATTGATGGTGGAGTTGAGAAAGTGTTGTTCCTGGTCATGTGAAATGTTTGGGTGTTTACAGCATGAACATTTTCAGGAGATTGCAATTTCAGAAAGCTAAATTATACACACACACACACACACACACACACATATATATATATATAATAATTTAACTTTATTATATATATATATATATATACTCATTCACTATATGTTATATATATACGTATATATATACTGTTCCAGGGATTGAACTCAGGTCATCAGGTTAGGCTACAATCTCCCTTACCCACTTAGCCATGTAACCCACCTTGTTTTAAAGGCCATGATTTTTAAAACATAATTTTACACAGTACTTGAATATAGTTTCATGGTCTGTAGCATTCTATTGTGTTTAAGAAAATACTTTGTCCATCAGGTTCTGGAGTTGCAGAGCCCACCGAAGGCCAGCGCGGTAGTGAAGGACTGTGTCAGGGCCTGCCTGGATTCTACATACAAGTACATCTTCGACAATTGCTACGAACTCTATTCTCAGCTAATAGACCCGGTAAGAGGAGATGTGGGGCTTTATGACGGTGTCATTCTGTTTCTGATGTCTGCTTCAATACATTCAGAATAGCAGAAAATGGGGACGAATGCTCATTTAATTTCACATTAACTACAGGTTTGAGAATTCCCAACCCATGTCTTCACATTTGAACATCATTTCCCTGTGCTCGAGCTAATTCATTCTTCACAATAGCTTTGTGTGGCAAAGGCAGATATTATCATTCCTGTTTTTCAGGTGCATATAATTGCGTTTAGAAGAATTAAATGTCCCGCTCCAGTTCACATAGTAGGTAGCAATTCCTTCGAGGGAACCTGACATTCGGTCAATAAGGCATTCAGTGGAAATGTATTCCACTCTTTTCTGTTTGTTTTTCTTCTACTACTTTTAGTAAACATCTAGAGAAAAGGGAACAAAGCTCCCACTGAAAACTCAGGTGCTGTGGCTGGGATGTAGCTGTTGGTAGTCTGCTTGCCTCCCATGTTCAAAGCCATAGGTTTGATCCCCAACACTGCATAAACCTAGCATCGTGGCTCACACCTGTAATCCAGATAGTTGGAGGGTGAAGGCAGGAATGTCAACAGTTCAAAGTCATTCCTAACTACGTAGTATATTCAAGGCTTATTTGGGTTACATGCAAACTTGTGCCTCCAAAATAAGGAAAAGGAAAGAGGGGGAAAGAATTAGTTGTGTAAACAGCTACATCAAATTTAAAAATGAAAGGTCTCCTCTTCCGTGTCACTCTCTAAGCTTTAGACTCCTCTTTCCACCTTCCCAGAAATGAAGAGACCCTTGTAGAATTCTTTTACAGAGCTTAAAATGTCTATGATGCAACAGCGGTACTGTTGAATCTTTACTTGAGCAATTAAGGTCATGGGATAAATAATTTGGTGGCACAGGCTGGAGCCACCAGCAGAGAAGGTGGATTTCTGTAGCTCTTGTCCACAATGAATCAGCCATGTGCAGTTTCGCATGTCACACATCACAGGCATCCTGCCAAGAGCAGGAGACACAGTTAGGATTCCTGTTTGTAAATGCACACAAGTTCAAGCTTTAAGACTGATTTAAATGTGTGTTCTGATGCTCACACATTAGAATTAGTGGAGCAAGGCCTCAGTCAGGGCTTTCTCCTCTCTAAAATAGACAGAAAGCCTCTCCGGTCTACTTCAGAATTAGGTTATAAAACCAAGACACACTGCCAAGCATCTAGCAAATCAGAAATCAGTGCAGAATCATTAGTAGCGACAAATGTTTAAAAACACACAGCACAGAAGCCAAAGAAAGACTCTTAATATGGTAATTTTGTTAAAAACACAGACCTAAGTTAAAAGGCAAATGTGAAATTTAAAACGATATTATTAGAAGCTTGGCGTCAGCTGAAGGGTTCCTGCATGGCTAAGTGTGATGTTTTATTCTTAAAGCTATCATTTAAAACCTTCCAGTGAATACAGATACTATTGCCTTAATTAACTTGAATCAATTTACAGGAATAAATATTATATATAGTCATATATTTTTTTAAATAAATTGCTTATTTTTAATCTACGAGCAGCACTAGCCACGTGAAGGGCATGATGGTGTTGCATGGATAAATGCAGAGTCAATGCTAGACGGACTTGTTGGGAAATATTATTTTAAGGTGTGTGACTTTTGTTTATGCTTTATTTATTTAACTCTAGGAAGCTTTGTTTTTTTCCCTGTCTAAAACACCTGACGGTGTAATAAAGAGCTGGACAGCCAATAGCGAGACAGGAGCAAGGATAGGCGGGGCTGGCAGGCAGAGAGTAAAAACAGAAGCAGAAATGAGAAAAAGAAAGCAAACGAGAGAACAAGAAGAGGAGGACATCAGGGGTCAGCCACCCAGCCACCCAGCCACCCAGCTACTCAGGCAGCCACGGAGTAAGAGTGAAAGTAAGATACAAAGAAAGAAGTAAGAAAATGAAAAAACCCAGAGGCAAAGGGTAGTCAGGATAATTTAAGAAAAGCTGGCAAGAAACAAGCCAAGCTAAGGCCGGATGCTTATATGTAAGAATAAGTCCCTGTGTGTTATTTATTTGGGAGTGGGGTAGCAGACTGCCCAAAAGAACAAAAAGCAACCAATAACACATACTTTCTTAGAAAAGTCCTATGTTTAGTGGCAGATTTCTTATAAAAAACAATGTTGAAGAGAAGGCCTAAGATAAACATGCAACAAATTATCAAATGCCCTACCACCAGCTTGGCAGTGACCCGTAAATGGAGTCTGTCCACACTGTAATTGGTGGTTAGCAGAGGGGGCTAGGTTGCAGTATCCCTTACTCCAATCGCTGCATATGCCCTTTAAAAATCAAAGGACAATAGAATCGCAGAAAGAAATGAGTCAGTCCCTTTCTCTAATTTCCTTACTGCATTTGTTTTTCTCAAATATTCTACATGGTTCTCTATGACTCTGTTCTGTTTGACTACCATTCCTCAAATGTCTTATTGAGAACATATCCTGCTATACTGCTTTCTTTGAAAAAAAAATCTATCTTTTAGATACTTTGTTTGCTTGTTTGACTTTTTCAAGCAGGGAAATGGTAAGATAGTCAAGGAAAAGCAATCCAAATTACAAAGCAAAATTGCTTCTGAGGTTCCATCCTATGTAGGGAAAAGTGTTTAACGCCTTTAGTAAATTCACAGATAAATAATAATTAATGTTTTGTCTTCTGTTTTGTACAAGATAGTGTAAAAATAAAAAAAAAAAAAGCAAGACAAGCACGGCCACCATGATTGTAGGCTTAGAATCTAGCAGGGGATAGACATGAAGTCATAATTACACCAGTAACTAAAAGAGTGCCGGGTTCCGGGGAAGGAAACACATGACATAGTATTAACATGTCTTAAGGAAGAGCCCCTAGACACTGGGACATGGGGGAAGGTTAGTTTACTACAGCTGCTGCTGGAAGCATGTCTCTGGGAAGACTGGGATTAAACGCAGAAAATTAATAAAGCCCTGCACTGCCCTCATTCGAGACTGCAGTGTGTAGGCTGAAGACATGGCACTGGTTACTCTTACAGCACAGAATCATTCACAACCACCTGTAATTCCAGTTCCATGGGATCCAATGCCCTCTTCCAGCCTCCCTGAGCACTGCATTCACATAATGAACATACATACACGTAAACAAATCTTTTTCAAAATGTCACAGCTTGGTACGTCCTACCCATCAAGCCGAGCCCTGTGATTGGACTCGTTACTAACAACCTACTAAAACTATATTTCCTGTATTGCCAAACACAGAGACTTTGGTCTAAACCACTCAGTCCTCTAGCCTCACGTAGGTTCCAGAAGCATTTGGCATCTTGACCATTTCCTACTTCTTAAAACACTGTCTATTCTAAGTGGCAAGTCGCCATCTTTCCTTACTTTCTCCCGTCTCACCATCTGTTCCCCTTTGAGATTTTTGTCTCTGTTCTTTGCCTCCGAGGATCTTGAATGTCACAGCCCTCTGGTCAAGTTTTGCCTTTGCTTCTAGTTTTACACAGTGATTCAGGGCAGAGCGTCAAACACCCAGTCAATCAACAAAATTCCTGAAGGATACTAACTTGTTGAAAACAGATATTCGATATAGGCTGGCTTGTATTGTGACCATTTCGTTCATTTTACAGGCAGCTCCCATGAGACCCAGCTGAGAGCAGGTTATCCTGTCTTGTTCAACACAGAACCCTGTCCCTGATTTGACTAGCTCTAAAGACAGTCTAGGAAGGACTGGGAGCTTTGAAAGGAGACCCATATGAACTCAAAGTGAAGTTTCCATCAGCAGGAAGCAACTGAGTTTTGGGCAAATCCCTCTAAGTTTGATTTCTTTGTTTATTAAGAGGGGATAGTGTTAATTACACGTGCTGCCAAAATTGCCGGGAGAGCTAATTGAGCTAGTGTTTGTGAGTCGCCTTGCTCGCAGATACCCAGGAGGTCACCCTGAGATCCATTCCAGCAACACCCGCCCAGTTCTTGATTTAAAATTAGGGATGGAACTTGACAGTAACAGGCACCGAAAGGGAAACTTTGGATCAGTGCTTTCCTTAGGGTTCCTCCTGGGTAGTTCTACAGGGGTGACATTTACAACACACAAAATCCAGTTTTCTGGGCCCACCTGGCTCCCTCTGAAGCGTGAAGGTTGTTACTCCCCATCTGCTCGCAGTGAATCTTTCAGATGTTTGGAAGCAACGAAATGTGTTCTGTAATTAAGCTTGGCACCAGAGCGCTGTGGAGATCGCCACTTCTGCACATGTGCCTTGCTGCCATCTCCTCTGCAATGGCTGAGCTTCTGGCACAGGTCCCTTTCCTAACCGGTCACAGAAGCAAGGTCGCACCAAGCCAAGCCCTCATCCTCATGCACAGGGAAATCTGCGCTTTTGCTGTCACTCAAGGAAAGTAGACATGACCACCCATTTTTTTTCATAAAATTAACATAATAGGGGCTTGAGAGGTGGCTCAGGGCTTAAGAGCACTTACAGCTCTTGCAGAGGACAGGAGTTCGACTCCCAGCAGTCACACAGGGAGGCTCAAAACCACCTGTAAATCCACTTGAGGGGATCTGAGATCTTCTTCTGGCCTTTGCAGACACTGCATTCACACATGCACATACACACAGACATACGTGATTTAAAATAAAAGTAAAATCTTGGAAATTATGACAATATTTATCATCCTTTTAGAAAGACTACATTTGAACTGACATCTTATATTTGTATATACAAATGGTAACATACTATGAAATATTGTGCTGAGTCTTATTTCATTTCCTATGACTTTGAGGTGGTCTCATAATTAACACACAAGAATATCTTTATATCTCATATCTGAATAGCACAGCACTGAAAGGACACTTCACAGTTTATTTAATTTGTCACTGCTGATGGAAATTCAGATTGTTCTACGTAACAGTATTTAAAACAATGCTGGAAAAATTTTATATACCATATATATATATATATGTACATACTTAAATAAAACACACACACACACACATATATAT